CCAGGTAGAGTTCTGTTTAGCTCCTGACATAATCCCAGGATGCCTCCTCTGTGCCAGGCACCATGGGAGGCACTGGGCTGAGCAAGATGAGCAGGACATCTTTCCCACCTCAGAGGGGCTTGCCCTCTAACAGGGGATGCACATGTGCAAACAGGGCTCATGCTGTAATGTGGGCCATGCAGACAGACCTGCAGCTCGACAGTGCGTGGTCCACAGTGGTTAATGCAAATGTAAGCAGCAGGGGAGGAGAGGAAAGATACTGAGGTGGTAAAACCACTGGCTCTCTGTCACTGATTGGAGGGAAGGAAGGTGAGTGTCCAAGGGGAGATTACAGCATCCTGTTCCAATTCTTTCATTCATTTGTTGTGTGTGCTCCAGCAAGCCCCTCCCCTTTCTGGTTTCAGTCTTCCCATCTGCTCAATGCAAGGATCCACCCAGATACTTCCTATGCCCTGTTTCTGTGAGTTTCAATACCCCAGGTGTTTCTTATGGTTCCTAACATGTTTTAGTATCTGCTACAGGCCAGGCATTGGGCAATCAACTTCCATAGTGATAACTCCTCGGAAACCCAACGAGCAGTCGCTATGAGTGGATCCCACTCAATGGCAGCTTATTGTGTTGCATTGTACACAGTGCATTGCATTGCGTCTTACAGGCCAGGCATTGTTGAGCATTTTGCATACCTTCTTGCACAACCTTCTCAACTCTCCTGTTGTGAAGGGCATCTAATCATGAATGAGCATTATTATCCCCATTTTAAATTCGAGGAAACTAAGGCTCAGAGAGACTGGGATGCATTCTCATTGAGGGACCCTTTGGAAAGAGTCCAGTGCCTTTGAGAAATCTTTGTTTCCTACAATCAAATTGCCTTCAAAGGATGGGTAGCTGCACTTTGCAGAATGGCTGGAGGGCACGGCTGGCTTTCCCGGGAGGGAGTCTGTAAGAGGTTTCACTGTTTTGTTTGAATGTGATGGGGATGCCAAGGACTGAGCCAAGTGCCTGCGGGGGGTTAGGGGTGCTGAGTGGTGGGTGACGGCCTGGGAGTGCAGGGAAAGCTTAGACTCGCAGAGGTGTAGAACAGATAAGTAGGAGCACCGGGAAGGAAGGGAACTCCAGACATCTGATAGTTTGTAAAATGAGGAAAAGCTCAGATTAAAGGAGAGCAGTCACACACCAAGCCAAGTGCAGGACGCACGGCCACAGCTCAGTGTCTTTTCTCCTCCAACCGCCCGCGCTGGGCCCCAAGACGCCGCCCAGGGGCCGGAAAGCGTGCTGTCCTTTCCCTCCGCCTTCACTCTTACCCCCCCCCCCAAGGCAACAATTAAGGAGCTGGGTGAGGCTCCCTCTCCATCTGGGTAATTACGTTCTCATTAGGAGCCCATCCGCCCCGGCGAGGAGCCTTAGCGCTTGGGCGCAGCTAGGAAGGCGCGCTCTCAGCGCTCCTATTGGGGGAGGCAGCGGCCAGAGATCCAGCAAGACAAGATAAGGGACAGCGCGGGTCCCAGAGCAACCCCGAGGGTCCCAGAGCAATCCCGCGCTGCTTCTCAGGCAGCAGAGAGGACGATGACCCCGGCTGTCGGACACACTGGATCCTCTTCGGGGTCCTGGGCTGGCCCAGCGGTTCTACGAGCGCTTGGCCCCACCTGGAGAACTCGGGCTGAGATGTCAAGTCAGGGCTCTTTGGGTTCTGGAAGCCTCCTTGGGTATCCTGCACCACACCCCCTTGGTTCCAGTGGGCGCTGAATGCTGAGCTGACTAAAACACCGCCATGTCCCTAGGGAATTGGGTGGGGGAGGCAAGTGAGTCTGGTAAGAAAATTCCTACTAGATCTCCAAAGAGGGAGCCCAGACAAGGAGTGGTGAAGGGTGTGGGATCTATCTAGGGTGCGGAAGGCTCCCTGAAAGAAGTGATATTTACTATTGGGGTAGGGGAAGGGAGGAGGAAGTAAATCTGGCAAGAGAGAAGCCTTTCAGACAGACTGAAAGTGAGGCTGAATGGGGGGGTTTCTGGGACCCCTGCAAAGCCAATATGATGGGGATTATTTTAGATGAAAGTAGGCGGTGGGACCCAGACCCAAAGAACCTGGAGGGTTCTAAGCTTTTAAGGAAGGAAAGTGAGATGTAGGTTTTAGAATCCACCTCCACCTCCCAGAGAACTGGAAGGGGCACCCGGGAGCTGCAGCCCCTTACTCCACATTCCCTACCACCCCCAAACTAGTTGGACTCTGGTCCCTCCCAGCTGGGGCTAATTCCAGAAGAACGTGGGCACACCTCCCCTCTGGAAGAGGTAACGCCCTCACCTTTATCCCAGTGGTGACAGAGTTGGCTGTTACATGACAGCCCCCAGTGAAGCCTAACCTCTAGGTCCATCTGTGGAGGCCCAGGCACGAGGATGAGGGCAGTTTGGGGTTGGGGAGCTCCACATTTTTCTAGAGCTCTCTGGGCAGAGGCTCTGGCTTAGCACTCCCGGGATTAGCTCCACATGTCTCCCTCCCCTGTCAAGCGGGCCTGGTTGGAGGGAGAAGTGAGCTATGAGCCTTGAGAAAGCAGTACCCCGTGCTGTGTGGACAAGATGCTTCCCAGGAGGCAGCCTAGACTTCTTAGGTCCCCAGAAGAACGGGATTTTAAAAGGTGGTAAAGGAGAAAAAAGGGGCACTCCAAAGTCAAGCAACGGGACAGTAGGTGCAGAGGCGTTGGGACAAGAATGGGCTCGTCAGAATCAGCAGGTGGAGGCAGATGAGGCTGGGGGCAGATTGAGAAGGGTCTCCAGTGCCAGCGTCAGACCTTTGGGGAGGCAAAGGCCCTCCACTGGGAAGAGGCCCACTGGAACCTGAGCATACTCAAGGAAGAGCCTCCTCTTCTCCTTCCCACTGGGGCCCATTTGCTCCCCTCTGTTCGCCTCCGGGGTAAGCTTCAGATCCTGGATGCACAGGCGTCCCCTTCGCCTTCACGCCAGCCGCAGGCCTAGTGTACCAGAGCCCGGGCAGGGGCCGCGCAGGCCACAGCCAGGACTCACTGCTCCAGGCAAAAAAAAAAAAAAACCCAGGAGGCCCTTGATCAGCTGACGGCCAGAATCCCAGAGCAAGATGGACTCCTGGAGTTGTCTAGATTCTTTATCTTTATACAAACGCGCAAACGAATGCCTAGCTAGGGGACTTGCCAAAGTCATGCAGCTGAGCGCAGCCTGGTGGCCCCACCGCCCCGGCAGGCACGCAGCCCAAGGAGACCAGAACCCTCGTGGTCTCCACCTCAGGAAGAGGAGAGATCCACCCTCTGCCAAGTGAGCTCCAAGCTTCCTTGGAAGGGTGATGACTACCCGACCCGCGAGACTCACTAGCCTCGCGCCTACGCGGAGAGTCCCAGGCACCGAGTCTCCGCACACTAGGCGGGCGGCTCTGTGCGGGCAGAATGGTTGGGTCACGCTAGTTCCTCCGCCGAAGGCCCAGCTCTCCCGGACCACTCCTTCCCATCCGGAAGGCGGGGAAGGGGGCCTCTTTTTAAAAATAATTTGTTGTTGTTGTTGTTATGTGCCGTCGAGTCGGCCCCGACTCATAATAGTCTCTTTTAAATTCCTCTAAGGTTCCTTTTTCTTCCAAATCCTCACTACCCAGAGGACTGACAGGGAGGAGGGACACGGTGGGGCAAAAACAGAAAAGCACTCTGAGCCGCTCCTCCGCCCCAAAGTCCCTACAGATCCCGCGGCCCAAAGTCTCTGGGACTGTGGGAGCGCGCCGGCTAGGGAAGCAGGCGACGCCCGGATTGCGCGCGGAGGAGAAACTGGGTCGGAGTTTCAGTGGAGGCCGGGCGCTGGGGACTCTCTAACTCAAACACACCGTGGGAATAATCAAGGAGCGTTGCTCGTTGTGCCATTATGGACTCTCACCCCAGGAGTTAAATTCCTCTTCGAAACTGAGGCCTGGAAAAGGCCTCCAAAAGGACTGGAGCCAGAGGGGCCAACGCAGGCCACCACCCCCGGCCCTCTCCTTTCGCCTCCCACCCGCTTTCTCCCCGTTGCCGAAGCAACTGGCTCAGGCTTCCAGACTTAAAACGAAGTCGTTTATTTCAATTTTTCTTTCACATTATGTTCCGACATAATCAAAACTCCTGGACGAACCTCTCTTAAGTCTTGCCAATGAGCGCAAACACAGATCCTAGGCGCTCAGGTGGTCCAGCGGTCAGACTCGGGATTCAGAGACCACGGTATAAAACACACGCTGCTTCGTGAACTGCCGAGCGGACGACGGTCAGGGAAATCCAGGGACAGAAGGCTTGGCGAGGCTGCCGCTCAGGCTACATGTTCGGGTCCTTGAACTCGGATCATTTATTCCTGGTGCATTTAGGCTGCAAAAGCCCAAAACTTCCTTCCTAGGCCGGAGGCGCGCCTGGCCTAGCAGAATTCCGGCCACTTTTCTTACGTTTGCGCCAGAGCAGGGAGCAAAGGAGAGTTGCAGGGTGCGCCTCAGGCCTGGAGGAGCGCAGAGTCGACTTTGAAGGCCGCAGAGGAAGCCCTCATGCCCGGGCGTTTCTTGGGATGCGGTCTCCCAAGTTTGCTGAACTTTGAAACTTCTCCCTTCCGCACCGCCCCAACATCGCTGCTAGGGAAGATGCGGAGTTCAGAAAGCTGTGTCAGAAAAATAAAAATCCCACTCCAACTTTATTGGATTAAAGCAAAATTAAATCTTGGCTGTTGATGTGTATGTTACAGAGGACGAGGAAGTGTCCGGAAGAACCTCCTGGCGTTTGGTGATGCCACAGACCACGAGGGCACTGACAAGCATCAGAACATCAAGCAGCCTTAGAGTTCACCATTACTCCAAACAGAACATAAAAAGACGGAAATACAGTTTCCACTGGGAAGAGTTCTTCGTGTACAAATGATATAGATTATATATATATATATA